TTTACAGATTAAAGTTGAGAGCCATTACCGAGATTCAGTATGTTTAAAGAACTAGTTACAAGAACCGATTCTAACAGAACTGAATGACGAAAACTGTGGAAGCAATTCATTGAATTCTTCCAGAACCCTTTCACTTTACGGAATACACTTGGGGTTGGCACCCTCGACAGTACATCTATGATAAACATAAGATTTACTTATCGTACTGATGCAAATAGAGTACTTACAAGTAATAGAAGGCATACTTGTATTACATACACGACATTTCCTTCGATACTCTATTGATTTCTCCATCAATCAATATGGTTGTCCACTGCCTTAGCACCTGCTAAGACTCCAGTTAAAACCCATTCATCAAAAGCCCGTGTCAAAGTGGGCTCTTAAAACTACATGTCAGTTCACCAAGTCACATTTCTCAGTTCACGCTGATAGTATATTGTAACCCAACTTTCCAATGACCCCATTTAATGGAGAGTGCAACTTCAACTCGTACCTTAGCTTATCTTGCTGCGAAACCTACACACACACACACACTTGTCTTTTTGTTAACCCATTTTCTTTCCAGGCCAAGAGACACGCACGAATACCTTAGCCCTTTTCGGAAGAGAGACAGATAGGGAAAGAGATAAAGAGAGAGAGAGAGAGAGAGAGAGAGAGAGAGAGAGAGGGTGGAGAGTTGACACATTAATCTCTTTAATTGCTCCACACGCAACTTGAGAGACTTGCAAAGTAAGGTAAACCAAAAAGAGTCAAAAGGTGTCTCTCGCAAACGACAGCTATTAATTAAAGCGAGCGACGTAAATTAAATTACATATCTTTGATCAAATCAAAATAAAATACGCCGTTGCATCATTAACACTTTGCCAGTCAGCCCACAAAGATCTCGGTTGAAATTATGTTTGTGCAACAAAAAGCGTGAAATCAAATTTAGATCTTGGATTTGATTAAAGAAACAACGATATACACATGTATTCTAATTAGATTATAAATGTACAAGAGAGGTATAATAAAATTGCGCAGAGTAGGAAAGAAAAGTCGTAAAGAAAGTATATATATATTTATGATCAGGATCAAAAGGAGAGTCGATTTAGCCTTGTCCGACTCTAGGAATATAGGTTCTTAAACATTACATTACATTTTATCGACAACAATCGATACTAATCGATTTCCGATAGCAAACAAATAAATAATCGTAATACTGTGTCACATTATTTATCAACCGCAAAAATGGCATTAAGATCAGATGAAAAACACAGATTTTATGATGTGTTCATATTGACCTAAGTATTTAAAAGGGTATCTGCCAGTCGAGCTCTCTCGCCTAGAGTATTCTAACTTGTTTTACATGTAAGTTTGATTTACCTTTGTTTAGCTCCTTTCCAACTAAAGCCAGAGCACTTCTTGTTAAAAAGAAATAGAAACCCCTCCGGTAACACAATAAATAAAATCCGATGACTGCACATTAATCGATCTAACAAAATAGAAAGCTATATATTGTGTATTGATATAACAATAACAACAACAACAACAATCTATCACACAATCAAATTGAGTAATTAAAACCGTGCAACTGTCACCTTCCCCGCTCAAATGTAGTTCTAATTGAAAGCGGAGGGCGTAGCTCGATTTTCGAGCTGTTTACCTATGACCCGTTAGATAAACATCACCCAAACCAGCATTTGCTGTGTGTGTGTGTGTGTGCGTTAAAATAACGGTTAAAATTGTATCCATGACTGCATGATGCACGCATTCACGCCCCAAACCGACGACGACTCCCTTCTCCCTCCACTCCACAAATAGCAAACCCACAAACACACACAAAAATTGCTGAATAATGGTCACGCCCCAAAGACTGGCAGGCGAACATATTAAAGCGTGTAATTAGTTTTGGATAGATACGATACGATATGCAGGCGTAGTTGGGTGGCGAGTGGTGAAGTTCCGCGGGGAAGGGGAAAAACTCAGCATGGTGCAGTTTTCCTCTTGATTGACTGACAGCCGACATTGTCAGTTGCCTGCAGCTAAAGCTAGAGAGGAGCTGCCATAGGAATCATAGTCGGAGGTCAAGTGCAGGCATAAAGTCTGGAATGGTTTCTGGTTTAAGACTCCCTCTGCTCCCCTTCTCCCTCACTCTGTCTGCTTCACTCGCAACTAGAAAATGGCTTTTATTGTTGTTGTTGTTGTTGTTGGCATTGTCATAGCGATATTCAATATGCACTTGAAAATAATGAAAGACAGCCCTGTAGAAAGACAGCGCCAAGTGCAGTGCCAAGTTTTGTTTCGTTTTTCTTTTTTTTTTGCCTCTTTCTACTCGTTTTTAGTTTCCGCATTGCATATAATTTATTCACTATGATGCATGCAAAGTCAAAATCAATAATAATTAGTTGGCAATTTATGCAGGCTGTCCAATGGAGTTGTATTGAGACGGTCGTAAATTGTTGAGTGATTTTCAATGCAAGCCAATTAAATGTCTAGCTTAGGGGAAGTATTGAGGTATTGTAAAACGAAAGAAGCTTAAACATTGTATTTTACCCTGTTCGCAATTAGAAACGTTACTTGGAATAATAGATTTTACAAAATAGGTAACACTCTGCTTGTTAAACTAAAGAACATAGTAATTAGAAAAGCTATACAATCAAAGTCTCTTCAATCAATCTCAATCATTACATGTAAGCTATTAAGTTGTTGGTGTGACGCTGTTATCTGAACGTAGCAGATTTCAAATGTTCTTTAAGGAATGCTGCAGCACAGCTTCTATTCTGTTCCAGCATTTACTTTATTTTCATGTCCTAATCCCACACACACACACAAAACATTCCAACCATATTTAGGCAAACATACAAACATTTATCAATCAAGCTTAGCAATTATAGTTGCTATACACCGCACACCCTCGGGAAAAACACGACGCTTCCCTTCCCTTGTCATCCCTCCTCCCGCTTATTCTACAAAGTAATGCTAATGCCTTTATTTATTGATTGCTTAGCAATCCCCAAATGCATTTGCCTGCAACCAAAAACACTCAATTCCCCTCCCGAAATTCAATTCTCACATATGCCCAAATTGGGAAACATTTTGTCAGAGACAAAGAACTAGAAACTGAAATAAATGCGGGTTCCGCTGGGGTTTCAAATACGCCCCCACATTAAGGTTGCTGTTCATAATTTGATATTTTATGTTTCTTTTTAATGCTTTTGTTTATTTCTTGGCAACTAATTGAATTCACAAAAGTGTTCTTTGGCGCCTTTTCTTCTGTTGCTGTTATGATGTCATCATGTCTGGCTGGCTCGCTGCCTGGCTGGCAGTCAGTTTTTTATTTTGATTCATTCCCACAACGTGACTCTGATGGGAGTGGCCCTCTCTGTGGCTGACATGTAACCGAATCCTTAGCCAAAATCTGCAGACACAACTCGGTATTAAATTGTATTAGCAAATTTATTGCATTTGTTTACAGACATGACAACATTTTCAATTGCAACGTAAACGAGGGGAATTAAGTACTGAGGGACTGAGAAACCACGCACTCGAAGCAACCAGCTGGAAGCAGTCAACACACCCACATAAATAGTCAGATAGTGGAGAGGTGAGTATTTAAACGGCGACAGCTTGACAGAAATGTCAAATTGGCAGGCAAAACCACAGTTACCACAAATTTTGAATGAATGGCTGAAAATGGGTGGAAGGAGGGAAGCAATGAATGAGCCAGTGAGTGTAGTGAGTGTAAGTGTGAGTGAGTGTGTGTGCGAGTGTGCCAGTGAGTGTATCTAACGTACTTTTTGTGGCCTATGCAAATGAGGCAAATTTAGTCGATTGCCAATGCAATTGGCAAACAAGGAAGCAAAACGGCTGCCTGTCAATTGAAAATGAAGGAGACGCCGTCGCCGCCAACAGCAACAGCAGCAGCAGGCAGCAGCAGCAACAAAAGGTGGAGCAAGACAAACGATGCTGTTTGGGAGACGCCGCCAGCGAGGCGCCACACAGCTCACAGCAATGAGAGTTAAATACACGGGAATTTTCTACAACTCCAACTAACTGCAACTCTATTATTATAGCCTGCCAGAGGGTATGCTCATTTTCCCATCAAGTTTGTAACGAAGGAAGACGTCTTCGACATCAGACACTATATATATACATTTTCTTGACCAGCTTTAATAGTCGAGTCAATATAGCCATAACCGTCTGGGAGTCTGTTTCTAGCTTGGTCAGCACCCGCCCTTTTGCTGAACAGGCCGGATCGAATCACTATATCATATAGTTGTCAGAGGAACTATCATTTGAAAGATGTGTTCTTGTATGAACTACTTCTTTGTTAACCAGAATATTCCAACTGAACTAAACAAGGAATACTCGATCGCATTTTAAGTTTTATATTCAAACTTAGACTCCGATGTGCAAGAGTATTTCATTTGCAGCTTGCCTAAAATACTCTTTCTTATTTATTTATTTTATTTCATTTTCAATTTTTCTTTGACTGAAAATGCAAATGGCAAAATGAATGCAAGTGCATTCAACTAATGAATTGATGGCTGCAAATAGTGTTTGATTGCCTGTCTGTAAGGCAGTCTCTAAGCCAGTTTACTTGACCATTGAACTGTACAGTAATTAGCAGCACACATGAACACACACACAGTAGAAGAAGACCCCAACGTGTGCTGATGACCTTTCCATTTTAGCCGCAACGAATTGATAAACGTTGCAACATTGAGAGTTGAGTTAACTGAGTTGAGCTCTATTTGGGCGCGACCCCCTTAATGAGATCTCATTAATTTGATAAAGACGATCAAATTATGTTTCTTCGTTTGGGGCAACATGATAAATGAGCGTTGAGCCTAAGCCAAATGCGGGCAACCAACAAATTTGTAGCGCTCTGTGTGCGTAAATTGCTTTGAAGTTAAATGAATGCGATCAAAACATTGAAAGATCCGTGGAGGAAATGATGATCGATGTTCATTTTTCTTGTCTTCGTGAAGAACTCAGTGAATTGAAGAACTCAGTGAAGCTGATAGCACTTATGACATTTATTGATTGACTATTGGCTATAATATAAACAAGAAAAGTTTTCTGCGATTTGCTTTGCCTTTTAAGTCAGCATTAGTTCGTTCTGGGTCTCTGGGCTTTCGTCACATTACTTATCCAGGCCCGAATTAAACTTCATGGCAATCACACACTCCTCGCCACAAGCAGCCAGCACCGTGCACAACAGATCTTTGCCATCACCAAATTCAACACGGAGACAATCGCCCAAATCACCATCGGGCACCTTGAGATCCTCACGGATATCACCATTGTCGGACATCAGGGTGACAAATCCATCATCACTGATATCAGTTAGCTGATAATCCTCGCGCTTCACATGCGGCACATCCATATTATGGGTGGAGGGACAAATATCCTCGTATTTCTTCTGTGTGAATATATCGATGCCAACGAGATGGACTTTGGCATGTCCATGCTTGCCGGTCTTCGAGGTGGACATGTCCACAATCTTGCACGGACGTCCCTTGATCATCACATTTCCATTCTTGCGCAGTGCCGAGCATTGCATCGGATATGTTTTCGATGCTCCAGAATCGACGGCATCAAATTCCACCTCATCATCGTCGGCCATCGATGAAACAAACAAAAAGTGTTTGTGTGTTTAAATCTTTTCTATGTTTATGAAAAACAAATTTTGTGAACCGTTTTTCTTTGCTCAGTTTTGGGTGGTTGACACTGAACTGAACTGAGAGCCGGCTTCCCAGCACTTGACATCCAAGTCAGCGTCGACTTGATTCCCAGTTTATTTTCTTTTCCTGGTTTTTCCCCCAGTCAAAATTTAAGTAGCCTTAAATCATAAGCGGATTTAGTTGTCGTGTTGTGAAATGGAAATGGAAAAGTGCTTAAAACTCCCACAGTACTATATTAATATGCAGTCGCATAACTGCGCCACAATTTATGCTTCCTATGCACCAAATTTGGTCAGACTCGTAAATATACAATAAAAGAAGAGCTTAGCCAATCAACATACGATAATCATTCGATTATCATAAGATAGTCATACGCATATCCGGCCTTTACTGCCACTGCACATTTCGACATTTGCTGCTGTTGCTGCTTAGTCTTCTTCTTTTGTGTGATATTCACAACGAACGTGTTCATAATTAAGAATCGTCGATCGAGTGGATTAAACACACTCAGAGACTCGTCGTCGTCTTTAGTCTAGTGCTTAAGTTGTAAATTAGTCTTGGAAAGTTGAAATTGACGTTGAAATTAACGCTTTGAAGTAAGAATGTTCTTGTCAAGAGAGCTCGACAACTTACGGCGGCGATATTTTGTATATATGAATATATCATGTTCTTCGGAGTTTCAGAAATCTATATTACCTGTAGGTATTTACATACCAGACTAGTTAAATCTTAAAATGGTATTTCATATAAGGTTTTTATTGCAATCGTTGGTCGATTTTAATCGATAATTGATCAAATTAAAGAAACTTGTTTATATAGAAGGACAGATGGAGATGGCTAAGTCGATTCGGATGTAGCTGCTGATCAAGAATGTATATATTTATGGGTTCGGAACTGCTTCCTTCTGTCGGTTACACACTTTTGCACTTTTGCACTTTTGCTTTATCCCTTTAGTGAATTTACGTCCTCACTAAAGTTATTCGATTGACTCTTGAATAAATTTTAAACATGACCAGTTTCTTTAGTTTGGTGCGAACAGGCGTTGCAATAACAAAGTGGCACATAGGGGTGTAACGCATTTCGCTGTTGCAATCAACGGCACTTTACGCACCTGCAACATCAACAACGAACGCACTGCCTTGGGGCAACACACAGCAGCAGCAGCAGCCGCGGCAGCAACCTCTGAATGTGGGCCAATGGCGCTGACCAAGTTAGTCGTCCACTTTAGTAATTAAAGCCATGAAAATCAGTTCACAAGGTGTGCATAAGAAATGTGCAACGCGTAGCGAGAGGGGCAAAAGCGAAAAAATGTGTGAGGGAGAGTGACGAAGAGAGAGAGTTCAACACTAGGCGCCACCTGGTGGCTTGCTGCAAGCCATGCCCGCATTTCGAGCAAGTCGAGTGAAGAATTTCCTGGTAGTGCAGGTTTAGATCTTTTTTTGGGGGCCTGCACAACACTTATCCAAATTAAAGTGTGTCCAAATATCTTATGCGACCTGATTTCATATGCATATGTTTAAGTTTCCTTTGATGTACGAGGCACCAAACAAATTGTTTACTGTGTTGCAACCGTGCCTTACCACAATATTTGGTTATGTTGGCAAGAGATATTCATCTGGTTTACATACCTGAAAGTAAAGAGAGAACATTTTATTAATAAAGAAAATTAATTTAGCTGATTTCCAGGAAAGTATCGTATTCTCTGTTAATTATTAAAGACCCCCATGTTCGAGTCTTTCCCACTCTTTTAGCGACATTTAAACTACTCCCAGTTGCATTCCAAATATTCTGTAGCTATTACCAACAAGAGCTTTCCCTCTGCGACTCTCATAAATCAAGCTGGGACCCCACCCAAAAAGAAACACCACTTAACCTCCATTGCTTCTAATGTCAATTGCTTTTCGGCCGTTATTTTCGCAGCATAATAAATAAAGCCAAAACGTAAACACAAATTGAGCTTAAATATTTGCGAAAACTTTTTTAGCGTGGCAAATGTGACAATTGACGAATTGACTACAAAAACAAATCTGTCTGTTTGTCAGTGTTGCAGTGACTTAGCTTGTTTCTGCTGCTGATCCAGTGGCTCCAATTGTAAATATATTTAAGTGATCGATGTTAAATTGTTTAACTGTTTTGTCAGTATACATACACAACATATACATAGCATAGCCGAGAACATGAAAACTCATTAAAACATGCTGTAGATAAGCGCAAAAAAACAACAAAAAACGAAACAACTTAAACACAAAACAGCAACAAGCCATAACAACAAACAGGCAATAAGACTTGGCTATAATTCAGTTGCCAGCAACAGCCACTCACAAATACACTCAAAGCCTGACACAGTCAACAATTTATTGACACTTTACAAACAAAAACACTTGGCCAATTTGTATACTCTACTGCTAAAAAGGGGTTAAGTGAGTATATATTTAATTTACACGATGCAAATAAAAAATACTTATTAAACTTTGCCACTTACAATAATCAATCTTTTAAAGCTCTCTAAAAATAAAAGTCGGCTGTATATCTGATTAATTGAGGCAGATATCTATCAGATATGTCAAAATAACATTCGATTGACTCATTCAGTTTAAAAATAAATTAAAGTAGCATATATCTATTACCTGTAGTTGTCAAACTATAATATATATTGTACTTGTACTTGTCAGCAATATGATCAAATCGTTAATCTTAGAAATTGTATGGAAAATTAATTAAGGTGCTTCTGCCAAAGAACTGAATTTAGTGAGCCTATCTTATCAGTGGAAACGATATAATTTATTTACTTTGAGTAACACACAGTACTTTGATAATGTTTAGTATAGAATATATATCTTTCAACATATTGAATTATTCATGGCATGAATTCATTTCTATTTCTACAGTTCAAGCAAGGGTAAGCAAGTTGCTGCATACTTTTTTTTTGTCAAGTTGTTTTCGCCTTTTTGCGACTGCTTTTAGCTTGTGGCAAGCGGTCGACACGTTCTCAAAAGTCGGCTGACGGATTGATGTGGCTTCGCGAGGCTTACGACAGCAACACTTTATGAGACCATGTGTGAACGGCAAATGGCAAATGTTCTGCGAAAGTGAGTCACCACCAATGTTTGTCACTTATCAGCGACGCACACACCCCGCTTCCGCCTGCCGCCCCACCCCCTCTTACCAGCTGCAGCCAGTCCAACCCCTGCCACCATCGCTGATGACCAATACGCGCTCAATGGCCGAATGAGCACAAAATTGAGCCGCATGCAACACGCAGCGAAACTGAAACCAAAAACAGAACAAAAAAAGCAGCAACTGCAATTGTAAGAGTACTTAAGCAAATAGTGACCGACTATCAGATACCCTAACAGCTCTCTTTCATTGTGAAGTGACACGAGAAGTTAACTTGAATCGATATTTTACTATTTAAGTTGACAAAAGAATTAACTAATTAATATCATTCCATTGCTCAATTTTATCAATAATAGTTTACAGGGTATCTAAAAGCAGTTCCCCATACGAGAGCAGATCAGCGCAGAGGTGGCAAAAAAAATAAAACCACGAAGACTGACAGACTGACAGAGAAGCTTTGTCGTCCCTGAAACAATATCGATTTCGCTGTTGGACTTTGGCTGCCTGCTGCTGACTTCTGTCTCTTCTTCTTCTTGTTTTTCTTCTTGATTGTTGTTGTTGTTGCTGTGCTTGTTCCGATTGCCACTTTGAGCGCTAAGAAGGCATTCACCTCATTTCCTGGACATGCGATAAAGTGGACAGGCAGGCAGCTGCTGTTGCTGCTGCTGCTGCTGCTGACCAGACTCACTCTTCTCCATACTGCCCATACACATTTCCAATTCCAATTCCAATAGCCGGCCTCACCTAACTGCAGATAGCCCGAGGGCGTTGCCAGACCACAGCGAGAAGAGTGTAGAGTAATAGCGTGTGTGTGCGAGAGAGAGAGAGAGAGAGAGAGAGAGAGAGAGAGAGAGAGAGACAGTCAGTCAGTCAGTCAGCTGCGGTTACAGATCATTGCATAATCAAGCGTCATTGTGCGGCGACTGCAATGCTTATCTTAATATCAATCTGACTGATGACTGATGATGCTAGGATGCCTTTTTACTTTCCTTCTTTGCACACTTTTTCACGAAGCGAATCTTTTCAATTGATCACTCGCCATCGTCATCGTCGTCGGGAGTGTGGAGTGGGTAGCGGGTAGCGTGAAGATTGATCTCATTACATGCGATTCATGATAAATGAAAGTTCCTTCATGGCGAAATATAATTATCAATTTCAGTAAGGAATTTAAAAGGAGTATATTACGCTGCTAGGATCATTAATATTTAACTATTTTTTTATGGCTTAGCATCAGAGATTTAAGTATCGAAATAAAACGATTAAAATAAACCATAAATCAACTGACTAGTATAATAATCTTCGCTTTAGAATGCTGTTATGAATTGGAAACTCTACTCAATTTAGCTGACATCATATTCGACTCAGGTCGCAGAAAAAACTTGCACAGCTAAAACTCAGAACTTCTGGAAGTGATTTAAGTACTCTTTTCTTTCTACTGTATTATTTTGAAAATGCATTATTCAAGCACAGCTTATATAAATCACTTAAGATTGTTGATCTTCACTTGTAATTGAAGATTAAAAGAGGGATTGCCTGAGAAAAAGAAGCTACAAATTACTAAACATCCTTCATCAACACTAAATGAAGAATGATTAAGGGTTTGCACAAAATTGCTAATTATTTGCTAAATATATCAATATTTAAGTATATATCATAAATTTAACTAAAAACTAAAGTGTTCTACAGAACTATAAATTACTAAAGATCATTAATCAACACTTTATAAACAATTATTCATTGATTGCTTGCCCTAAATATGCCACACTATATCATTATTTACATGTACTTCATTTTAGCAACCTTTTCTAACTAAACTCACTTATTACGAGTCTTAAAACTATGAATTACTTAAGATCGTTAATCAAGAATTTAACATTAGTCATCTTTCATAGATTGCTTGTGCCAGATTTG